GGGGTGGGTGGGGTCCCTTGGGTCTTGGTCCCCCACCCACTGTGTGTGTCCTCCACGCCCCACCCCTGCAGCTGACCGGGAGGTTCAGCGCATCCTCCTGGAGCTCCTCAACCAGATGGATGGCTTTGACCAGAATGTCAACGTCAAGGTGGGGGTCCCAAGGGTGCTGGGAGGGGTCCCAAGGGTGCTGGGAGGGGTCCCAAGGGTGCTGGGGGAGACGTCGGTGTCCCCTCCAAGGTGACCATGATGACAGCCCATGGGGACGTGCAGCTCTCATCACTGCTTCACCCTAGGGTCCCATGGGTGCTGTGGGACTCCCATGGGTGCTATGGGGGGCTTGAGATCCTGGATGGTCCCATGGGTGCCATGAAGGTCCCAGGGGTTGTGGGCGGGGACACCTCCTTGTCCCCCTCTCAAGGTGACCATGATGACAACCCATGGGGATATGCAGCTCTCATCGCTGCTCCATCCTGGTGTCCCATGGGTGCTGGGGGAGGTCCCATGGGTGCTGGGGGGGTCCCGTGACAGTTGTAGGTGCTGGAGAAGGTCCTCCTTGAGATGACCCTGATGACAAACCATGGGGACACACTGCTGCGGGGTGCTTCTCCGTCCTGGGTTCCCATGGGTGCTGGGATGGTCCCACAAGGTGACGGTGACACCCACGCGTGTGTCCCACCCCAGGTGATCATGGCGACGAACCGGGCGGACACCCTGGACCCCGCCCTGCTGCGTCCAGGTCGCCTGGACCGGAAAATTGAATTCCCGTTGCCGGACCGCCATCAGAAACGTCTCATCTTCTCCACCATCACCGGGAAGATGAACCTCTCCGAGGAGGTGGACCTCGAGGACTGTATCTGGGGACACGTGGGGACACCACGGGCTTGGGGGACGCGGGGACGTGGGGGACGCGGGGACGTTGGGGACCCCACCGAGGTGGAATTCTCCCTCAAAGGGTAACCTGAGGAGGTGGGGATCCCATGGGGACGTCAGGAACCCCAGGGAGATGTCGGGATCGGGGACCCCAGGGGACATCAGGGACCTCATGGGGACATCAGGGACCCCAGGGAAGATCAGGGTTGAGGACCCACGGGGACATCGGGAACCCCAGGGAGATGTCGGGGTTGGGGACATCGGGAACCCCAGGGAGATGCCAGGGTTGGGGACATCAGGGACCCTAGGGGACATCAGGGTTGGAGACCCCCATGGGGACATCAGGGACCCCAGGGGTGCTGTCCCACAGCAAGGCCACCCACGGGTGACACCCCCGGGAATGAGCAGACCCATGGAGTGGGCTTGGGGACATCGGGGACATCACAGAGGGGACGTTTCCTTTACCCCCACCCAGACGTGGCGCGGCCGGACAAGATCTCGGGGGCTGACATCAACTCCATCTGCCAGGAGGTGGGTGACTTGGGGACACGGGGGGACGTGGGTGGCCGTGTCCCACCACGGCAGGGTGACAAGGGGGTGACGTGGGTGCCATGTCCCACCATGGCAGGGTGACAAGGAGGTGACACAGGTGCCATGTCTCTCATAGTGGGGTGACATGGAGGTGACACGGGTGACGTGTCCCTCATGGCAAGGTGACATGGGTGCCGTGTGCCACCACAGTAGGTGACAAGGAGGTGACACGGGTGACGTGTCCCTCATGGCAAGGTGACATGGGTGCCGTGTGCCACCACAGTAGGTGACAAGAAGGTGACACGGGTGATGTGTCCCTCATGGCAAGGTGACATGAGTGCCATGTGCCACCACAGTAGGTGACAAGAAGGTGACACGGGTGACGTGTCCCTCATGGCAAGGTGACATGGGTGCCGTGTCCCACCACAGCAGGGTGACAAGGAGGTGACGGGTGACGTGTCCCTCATGGTAGGGTGACAAGAAGGTGACATGGTGGCCTATCCCCAGGGTGGTTGAGGGTGACACAGGTGACCCTGTGGCCTGTCCCCAAAGTGGTGGGGCTGGCTGGGGGTGACCCAGGTGACCTGATGGCCTTTCCCCATGGTGGCCAAGGGTGACAACGGTGACGTGGTGGCCTTGTCCCCAGGGTGGCATGCTGGCGGTGCGGGAGAACCGGTACATTGTGTTGGCCAAGGACTTTGAGAAGGCCTACAAGACCGTCATCAAGAAGGACGAGCAGGAGCACGAATTCTACAAGTGACAAGTTGGGGACGTTGGGGACACCTCGGTGACACCCCCACACCCCCTCCCCCAATAAACCTCAC